GTTTCAGGCTATGTATGGAATATTTCAGTTCTTTTTGTATATGCTAATAGACAGTGGATAGATTGAAACAACCTCCTCTTTATATGACCCACTACAGTCACCTCCACCTGATAGCATCTACTCATCTGTTTTGTTTGATGAACTGCTTCCCGCCAGTACAAAAATAAAATGAGGTGTAAGAGTGAGGATTAAAGTACAGCATTAAAATTGTATGTTGGAAAAAGTTTGTACAGTACTTTGATAAGTCTTGAGCCACCTCACAAAATAAGAAACAGGTGTAACAAATTATTGAACATGTAAAAGGAAATGTGCTTTATAGAAGGTTAAAACAGTTTGTCTAACAATTCTAACAGGCTTAAAAATCAATATTTAATGTGACCACCTTTATTCTTTAGTTTAGCCTGAACTCTCTTTGCCAGCTTTCCTGTAACGTCTTATAGTAGTCTTCGGAAATAGTTCTCCAGGCATCTTAAAAGATCTTCCAAAGCTCTGTTTTTTGGATGTTGGCTGCCTCTTGTTCCATTTGCTGTCAGGATTATCCCACACTGCTTCATTATTGTCAAAGTCTGAGCTCTGGGAAGGCCAGTTATGATTGATTGTGTTCCCCCATGTAAAATGCAGCCACAAACCATGACTCTGCTGCCATCGTCTTTTACAAATGACTGTTACATATCTCTCCTGACAACAATCCAATTTGGTTTCATTTATATAGCATTAATCACAGCAACAATCACCTCAAGGTGCTTTATATTATAAGTTAAAGACCCTACAACGATAGAGAAATGCCAACAATCAAACAACCCCGTACGAGTAAGCACTTGGTGACAGTGGGAAGGAAAATCTCCCTTTTATCATGAAGAACCCTCCGTCAGAGTTGGGACTCAGAGAGGAGATCCAGATCCACAGTTTGCAGTCTAAATTCTACAGACCTGTTGCATCTGATTTTCTTGCTCCAGTTGTTGTGTATTCCTTTCATCAGTCTTTTCCTTCCACAACACCCATGCCAGGCTACAATGTTCCCTATTGTTTTATGGAGTCAATCGCTAGTTTCAAACTTAGCATCATTTTTGATTTTGTAAACTACAGTAGAGCAGGAATACAA